CCCCCCAAGGTATAGTAGTGACCTCAAGGACAGGACTGCGCACATGCCAATGGCCTCATAGGGAACGTTAGAAAGACACCATGACCTTTAGTTGAAATGTGCGGCCTAACTGTACACACTAATTCACCATGATGCAGTCCAACTACACTAATCCCTGTACATTCACGCTATTGGTTGTAACGTCTGCAGTAAAATTCTTTTTATTTCCGTGGTCATGGGAATCGAACCTGCGACCTCACCATACTCAGGCTTAATGAGGGTCTCAGTGACTAACCACCAAGATAGGGTGACCAACCTCTAGTTTTATCCTTTTCCTTTGCAAACAGTCTTTTGACTTTATCTTTATTTATATTTTGAACTTCAAAAATATAGTCGAACAATATTACAAAAATAAGAAAATAAACTAATAAAAATAAAAAGAGTAGCTTCACGACTCATACAAGTAAAGAAATCTAAACTAAAATAAATTAAAGCAAAGAAAAACTAAACTATTACAGAATCGCATACCCCAACTTTATCCGAAGGCCAGTGTGAGTCAACTATCCAACATCCAAAAATCCAGTTCGTTACTAGAAAGAAATCCTAAGAGGTTGAACTGTTAAGCGGCGCAGAAAATCCAAGTGCGAGATCCATGATCCGCCCCGAATTATAGAAGAGGATATCCAAGAAATCCAGGAATCCTGAGGAACTGTTGCCAAAGGAGAGTTGTGTTTTTGCGAAGAAGGAGTAATGAGAGAAGAACTTGAAGATGGGCCATGTAATTTAGAAGCAGCTAAGATACCCTGTGACTCTTCCCAAGCATGGAAAAGAACATTCCGACATAGCCAAATATCACCATATAATTCAACTTGGAAGTCATTAAGAAGAGGAGAAATAGTTTTATATACAACAGAGAGAGGAAAATAACGTGCCAAAAATGTCATCAAATGCGCAGGTAACAGTCCTCTGGTAAGCCAAAGACAGGATAAAGAGGGAGTATCACAATTCCAACAATCCAAAGCAGAAAATTCGGTTTGGAA